TGCACGCTTTAAACGGCACGGTTTCCAGCAAGTAGAGCGGCCGTTCGATTAAGCCTCGATTGATTCGTTCGGATATAACTCGTCCATTCCCCTCCCCCTTGTTGTCGCGAGTTTCGAATTTTTTTGAACGCTGCTGGAAAAATTTAGGGTCCAAGGTAGGTTCCATAGGTTCGGGTGTGGAATTTGGAGAAAGGTGATCGATTCTGCGTTGTGGTGTGGAAAACATTTATGCGACATTTTTATCAAGTGTCGGTCGATAATTAATTCGAAAATCTCGAATACGGCTTACGATTCTGAAAGTAATCTATCCACTCTAAATATTAATTTATCGAATAATTATTATGACAGTGTATCAAATAAAATTATATGATTTTTTTTTTTTTTTATTTCAACAAGAATACTAATATCTATCGTATTCTTCGAGCTTAAAATCAATCCTTACTAAGGATAAATATATATAACAATTTCTAATCTAAATTATATAGTAAAGAATATTGTCAAAAAATTTACATACGTTATTCTTCTCTTACATCACTCGGTTCGAGTGAATCGGAGATCCAAAAAAAAAAAAAAAAACTACCCTATGGCAGTTGCCATAAATTGCGTACGATCCCAGCAGGATCATCGAGACGCTAAAAATCGAAGGATCAACAGGCTTCTTCAGGGAGGACAACTCGGACAAATTACGAACGAATTCGCATGGTTGGTACTCACGGAAGTTCACCATCGACCACGGTGGAGCGCGAAACGAGAAGAGAAAAAGATGGGTGGTGGTGGATTTTTACGAGCAGGAGGGCCCACGAGCTGGAGAAAATTCCCTTTATCGTTTCAAATATTCCCAGGCGCACGAAGGGTGGCGAGCCGGTCATTAATTATTTATGTGCGGGAAGACGTAACGATCGAGACGCGTGTCGAGGCTTTTAGCGGCTACGGAGAGACCTTCTGGCCGAAAGGTCGCCACCTTTGCACCTTCCGATCCGCCCTAGGGAAAATCTGCGACGACTTTATTACTAGGGCCGTTCGCACGCTTAATGAACTTTCCAGCTTTGGAGCTTTATTATTATAATGATATTTCTTTCTTTTCTCTCGATATATTTCGCGTTTCAAATTTGAATTTAAATTCTCGATGCTTTTTTTGCTCCGTTTCCGTAACGAGTTCGTTGTCTCGATTTGGTGAATTTTTGAATCACTCGAGTTATCATGACGGAATTTGGAATTTTTAAGGTATTTCAAGTTGTCGGTAGATAGATCGTTGTTTAATATCTTTGTTATAACAATTTGCTGATTTTTCTGAATTTGATAACAAATATATATATATAATTCGCTTCATTTTCTTGAGAAAATGATAACGATATAGAGTTTGGATATATTCAGTATAGATAAAGTATCATTCATATGTTCGAGAATCGAATTTAATTAATAGTCGCATCGATATCTTGGATTTACATGAATCATGAACGATAACAGTGTGTGAACAGGTTTCTGTTCTCAGAAGATGAAAAACGCGAACGATTATATTCGTTATCGTTCAGAAAACATGAGCATATGTTTCATGGTCTTAGGATTGATATTTGTAAAATTAGCTACGAAAAAGAATCGAAAATTCTCAAACTATATTTTTAAAAATCCTCATAGATTGAAAATTGATTAACAATCGAGCGACTACAACTTAATTTTTAACTCGCTTTCAACTCGCGAATCGTTTATCACAATCTTTTGAAAATGATAATATGCAACTTTAAACTTATATTTTAAGAAATTACAAAATTCCTTTCTACTTACAAGAATAACAATAGCAAAAATTGAAATCTCTATCGTTATCAATTTTCTAATCGAAAAATTCAAACTTGTAGGAACAAATAATATTTTCAAAAATTATAAAACAATTTTAAAAACATCACGAGGCGATTTAACATAATACTTCGCAAAATGCAAAATTGAGAAATCAAAATTCGAGGAAAAAATCGATAAAAAAATGGAGGAAAATCCATCGCGGATCCCTACGCATGGAGCAACCCTAGCCTGGTACAAGGGATCAACATGAGCTTAACGGCAGGCGCCAATATACCTAGCCACCCTCCTCCACCCCACCGCCCACATACCACGACCAAGCCGTCAAGCTGTGGTATTAAACGGGGCATGCGTGAGGTCCACGGTGGTTGGTCACGTGTACCATTTCCAACCACCCTCCTCCATCCTCGCCACCCCCTGGCCGACCGTGCGCCTACATTCTTACGATTTCTAAGGAAGTGTTGCCCTCGCGATATCGCGCCACAGGACAATTAAATTAAAGCCGTGGGGGTGAATGTATGGAGACATGTATGGAGGGGGTGGTAATCATGATTCTCTATGGGGATGAAATTTTTTTTCGAGACTTTCGTTTCAGACGTTACTTATTTATTTTTACTTTCTCGAGACAATATTGGAATATTTTCGAATATTTATTTGAAAATAATTATTAATCGAATACGAAGACGAAATTTCTATTTTTCGTGCAAACATTCGAGAACGTGTACGACGATAATTTGTTGACATGTTCGATTATTTATTTGCCATTGAAATTGAAAGATATCTCTGGACAAGAAGATGGGATATAAGAGGGAGAGATACAATTTGATCCACTCGTTGAGATAATTTTGATCGATATTGAAATTACTTCTTTCTATCCGCGAATTGAGAAAAAAAGAAACTTAAATATTGTTCCTTTCCTACAAATACGAGAAGATTTCGAGGGAATATTTAGAGATGGAAATTGAATTCTTTATGAGAATTTCACGTTTTGTTTTCCTTAAGTCGTTTTATTATATATATTTGGAATATATTCTGATCGGTCGATAAAAATATCAAAATTTCAAATTTTCTACTAAAAAAAAAAAAAAAACAAAAAATTACTTTATAAAACTTCAAAATTATAACTATAAAATCTTAATTGCTAAACTTTCTCGAATACTTTCTAAAACGAACGAATCTAGCCGTGCAAGATTTTTTCCATCGGAAAAAACTCCTCGTCTCCAATCGAATTCGTGAATATTCTGAAACGAATTCACAGATAATATCGAGATGGCGGATAATAAAAAATTCCTACGGATCTATTTGCGATCCTTTCAAGAAATGAATCAAATCGAAAGGGGAGGGATATTTCAAACGGTCCGCGATTAATTCCGCCGGAAAACGGTCCATTTTCTTCCATCGTAATTCCCCCTCCTCCCCTTTTCGAAACGTTTTTTCGCAATTAATATTTCATGTTTAATATTTCCTCGAATATTTTTATTTATTCTATTTAAATATGCGAATTCCGCCTCTATTATCTATGGATCCGTTAAATTTCGATACGTGGATCGAAACGCAATTAACGGGTGCAATTTTAAATGCGAAGAACACGTGGAATGTCGTCCAATTAAAAACAAATAATGGCTGTGAAAAAAAAAAAAAACGTCGTATGTGTTGTATAAAATTGTCAACGTTTCGCGTGTTATTACAAATTGTTATTATATATGAAAGATTGGAAATGAAACACAAGTGTGTTAAAAATATATATATATATGAAAACGAGGAAAAAATTCTCTCTTTCTATAATCATAGAAATTGATATAAATATCTTCGTTCGAAAAGTAAAGAAAGATAAAGAAGATACATTGTTTCTTTTGTTAATTTTAAAGAGAAATTAATCGTTCGTTTTAATATGAATCATCGAAAATCTTCGAGATTATCGTGTATTCTTTTTTTTTTTTTTTTTTAATCTCTCTGAAACAATTTTGATCGTTTAAAAAAAAAAAGGAAAATAATTCTAACTTATAAAAGGAAAAAAAATAGAAATTTTAGAAAAAGGAAAAACTAATAAAAATCTATTACAATCGTCCGAAAAATTGTTTGAACTGATACACGAATAAATACTATTGCGCTATACAAAAAGTGATTATCTTATGTGTTATCTATAATTAATCATCGTAAAAGTTAAAGAGTAAATAAATTTCAAAATTTATTTTTTTGTCCTATATTCGGTTCGGAAATCTGTTCCCTTTTTTAATTTCACCAAGAAATTCACGCGTTATTTGCACAGCGGTAAAGCATCGAATAAACTGCGAGACATATCCTGGTTATTTAGAACGCGACATTGTACGGTGGAGGGAGAAGCTTTTTTCATCCCTTCGAGTGTTCTGTAAGATTTAATTAAAAATCGAGAAAATCGAAGCGCAAAAGACACGTGTCAAATTTTTCGCCGCGCATTTGTTTCAAATTTACAGAGAATTTATATGGATCGAAAATTTGTTACATTTTCTTTTTTTTTTTTTTTTGAAACGCATGCAGATTGAAATATATAAATATATAGCTTTAAATACGTAAATTGAATAATAATACAAGCACAGTTACATTGATTTTCAAATACATTGATAATCGCTATAGAAAATTTTTAAGATATATAATAATTAAATTCATATGTAAAAAATATCTAACCATGTCAAAAAATCGATAAAATGAAAAAGTGTTTTTAAATTTTGTAAATTACTTTTACAAATAATAAAAAAAAAAAAAATAAAAATAATATAATACAACGTTAATTAGAGATTCAAAATCTCTCTATTTAAAAATTATTACCTTTAAAAAAAAAAAATAAACTGAAACAAGAAGAACATAACATAAAATAATTCAAACAAACTGGAGTTCGAGTTTCAAAATTAAAATGAAAATCAAAATTATCAAATCAACCATTCTTTCGCTTTCTTTTTCACACACATCAACGATCAATCGATCCTTTTTCCTCATCAAACATTCTCTCTATCTTTCAAATTTCTTACCTTTTCGATATAAAAAAAAAAAAATAAAAATAAAACACGCCCGAGACAGACAGCGAAATCATAATGGCGAAAAACGATGGACCGGTCCTCGGTCTCTGTTCATGCTTGGCCTCTAAGCCGTGCTGTGTAGCATTGTATAAAGCGCAAGCCTCGTCCTGTAGTAGGAGCCTCCCTGCTCCTCCTCACCGCACTATTGACGGGAGTTTTAATAAAAGTACCCCCACCAGGAAAGCTAAACGTCGCAGTGGAAGGACCCGGTGAACGCAGAGCTAAGAAGATATTGGGTAAAGCAAAGATCGTAAGGACACTTATAGACATCGGGGCCCGGGCGAAATTTCGGAGCAGATTGAGACCACTGCCGTCACCACCCCCGCGCCGACTAGGATAATCGTAATTTTCTCCCTTAAAGGTAATGCTGGGCGAATATCCGAGGCGAATATTCGTGGATCGACCGTGTCTTGGATTTTGTTTGTACGAGGATCGATCGTGTTATCGTTGGATTTTTTTTTTTTATTCCATCTAGAAAAAGTTGAAGAGTTTGTGGTGGTGTGAAGCGCAAAATTTCTCGAATAATTTCTGGATTCGCTGTGGATTTTTTGTTGATCGAAGATGCACGTGTTGATGATGCTATTAAGGTGTTGGTAATCTTCCATTTGGATGTAGCACTTTCTTTTCGAGGATGAATTTTTGAATCGGGTGTTTTTGCATTCGTTTGGCGATTTCTTTGGTGGCGCTGATGAAACATCTGTGTTAACATCACTCGCTTTCGGTTTCAAATTAAAGTTTAATTGTTAGTGTAATGTATTTCAGATTGAATATATACATATCATCATGCCTGATAATGCTTTTTATTGAAATTTGGTGGCGTACGTTGTTGTAGAAATATGAAACCTGAAGATTAAAAATTTAAATATTTTTTAGCGTAATTATTCCATTGTTAAAATGAAATTTTAATAAAAACTTGTATCATTTTACGAATTATACTTAAAACATCCACTCCACTCCAACTATTCCCCATCATTCCCAAATTTTTTCCCACTTTTTCCTCCACTTTCAACTTCTTCAAATTCAACGATCAACGCAAGATTCATCGAGCGATCGATACATGGATTCGCGATGGCGGCCGATGAGTGGCTGGCCGGCATTAGATCACGAGCGAGCGGGTATTGCTCAACGATTTGAGAAACGCAAATAGAAGTAACAGAGGGATTAAAACAGTTTGTGGTCAAACACAGAGAGGCCCTGCCTCTCTGAATAGTAGGAACGATGGATCCTTCTGGTTGCACGGGATCCACGAGGCTCGAGTTTCTATGGGATCGACGAGGCGTCATAATAGTCACGGGGTGTGTATTCAAAGGGCGATCTTGCCACCTTGTATTCTGTGGCATTAGACCGTGATCTAGAGGCCGATTCATGGATCGAAAATTAGTTTTGAACGATTTTGATAGAAAGTCTCTCCCGAACGAACCGACACTTTTTTTCATTACCAATGATTTTTAATACGATAAATACTTATTTAAATTTTCAGAAAATTTATCTCAAGCGAAAGTTGATAATTTAATTTATCCGTTCTGAGAAAACTTCAAAATCACCTTTAAAATTTCTAATTCTAGATTTGCACGAGGTTTGATTCAACGTTATGAGAGAGAGAGAGAGAGACGCGTTAAGTTCGAAGGGTTGATGAGCCTTGCCTGTTGCAAGAGGTAATCGGAAACAAGAACAAACTGAACTGTCGTTAGACGTCGACAAATAAAAAAGAGAGTACGGTTCATTTGAATTAAAAAGGACGATTAATAGGAGATCAGTCGGGGATTACATTGGAGCGAACCTGTAGGAAGGAAAAGAACAAACCGAAACACCTGTGATTAGTTTGCGGGGTTCGGAGGAACGGCACGGTTAATCGATAGTTAAGCAAACACGAGAACTTCGTGGCTAATAGTGTGTCAAATCTAGCGAGGGTAATCGGCGAAGCCCCGTCAGCTGTGTCCACAACGATACTTTTCAATCTTGCCTTTTAAACACCCCCAAAGCATTTGATTTATTGACTCGTAGATACCGTGAGATGAACCTCCATCGACTTTCTTCATCGTCCTCGTTTGCCTACTCTTTGTGCATCGCGTGTTGTTTAACTGCAATTTTTGAAAAGTGAAAATTTTAATCGATACAAAATAAATGGAACTTTATTTAATGGTTTAGCATCTCTTTACGGAATGTCATTTTGGAAAAGTGAAAGAAGAAGAATTATATCTTACATATCTTTGAATGAGCTGGAAAATATATTGGTTCTCGGAGAAAATTCGAATATTAAAATATCGAGTGAAATTTTCTAACGAAATTTATCACTAATAGGCCATTCTATACATCTGCAACAACAATATAAAATTTATTTATACTCTCCCCTAAATTAAATACTTAATAATAATAACCTTACTTAATTTAATTACTTAATTTAGATCCCCTCGTACACAATTTTTAATTAAAAAAATTTACGTAACAAAGAATTTCAAAGAAATTCTTTACGAACAGAAAACATTTCACAAATCCTCAAAATCGATTGATGACAGGTCCCACGATCTTCGATTAATTTTATCCATTATCCTGAAAAATAAAAATAAAATTGTTCGAGCTGAATTATTCGAAAAAAAAAAAAATTACAGAAAATAATTATAAATATTAAGCAAATCCATTAGAAAGTCTCGCAAATTCTGTCCACCTCCCATCGGATGTTCGATGAGTTTTCGATTATCCTAAGAGAATAAAATTGGTCGTCATATAATCCCAGGATCAGAAATACGAAGAATAATAATTTGGCGCAGTTTGAGAACCGCGATGGGATAGGTTGAACGCGCATGTCAGCGTTGCAGGGGGGTGGAATACGAAGAGTATCGAGGGCGGAGCCGTTGGAAACGAGCCTCATGGCTACGTGTGCGCTCCCTGTCCCACCTCGAACGATAACCTTTAACCTTATCCCGTTAAGTTCGGCCCAACTTTCAGATTTCGAGCAAAGTTCACTCGACTCGAAGGTTTCGCTGATTAACAAACGCCCCCTCGAAGGCGTTTACATTCATCGCGGCGAAATGCGGGCCATGCATCCCTCGAAGAAAATGGACATTGTTGGTGAGGTAGGTGAGTCTGGCACGATCTTTTGACCAGGGTTTAATAACGCGTGGAAGATGTTGTACGAAGGATAGAGGAAGAGTTGAACTCTGATCCAGATGGAATTGGTAGAACGATCTGTAATGAGGAAAAGGAACGAGATTGAAAGTTGGTTATAGTTTATTATTAGTAATGTTGAATAGAAAAAACTTTTGACGAGGTTTGTAACGAGTGGATGTAGGATGTGTCGAGTGGAGAGAGACGTAAAATTAGCATTGAATTGATAAGAAAGCATGGATATCTCTTTCTTTTTATCTTTAATTCTTTTTTTTTAGCTCTAACTAAACCCACCGACATTTCATGTATACCTATTCCTACCATGAGGTATGACCGTTGCAAAAAAACATTTGTATCTTAATATAGAAAGAGATTAATTGGATTCGTAAAGTAAACAATACAGAAAATTGTGAATATTGAAAACGGTCATTTGACCGCGCCGTTAAAAAATGCCTCCCTTCGTACAGACGAAGCAAATGAGAACAGGTTGAAAAACTGCTGTAAACCGAATAACAAATTGCCGATAACCGAGTCTAAACGCATCTCGACACGATAACATCTACAGATCCACCTACCGATCAAACTGCATAATGTGATTTAAACGTCACCCTAACGAGATCAGGCCGCCCCCGAAATCTCTCGTTGCGAAGGGTGCGGAACGATTAATCCGTGACTTCTCGTCCGTGGCGTGATATCCTTGCCTCGACGAGGCGAAACGGGACGACGAGGTTGGCCAGCTGTCGGCTGGGACAACGGCTGCACGTACAATATCGCCCGTGGCTTTTGGGGGGCTTTTCCCAAGATGACGGCCCTCTTCCGTCGTGTTACGCCGCGTTTAGGGGCGAGTCTCTCTCTCTCTCTCTCTCCTCCTGGCGTCAGCTTGCGAAGAAACGAACGGAGCTGACCATGGAAAAACTTTCCAGGAGGGTTATTGATGTATTTCCAAGGGACGAACGCTGTGGAAAGAGAGAGATCTGGATGAAAAATTCGATCTCGTCGCGTTTTGATCACCGCCGTCGATTTCTTCGATTCGAGTATTGGGACGAGTGAAGAAGAAGATAGGTAGATACATTATTTTAAAGGAATTAATTCCTCTCGACTCGAGAAGTTTTTAGGATGTTTTGGTATTTTATCGTCGTAATATCACCGTGCGATCTCGTGAAATCAAAATGTATCGAATTTTTGTATTATTATTATTATTGGGAATGGATGATTTGAAATTGAAGATTCTTGAATCTTACGTTCGTTCAAGCGATGTCTCATCGACAATTTGATTTTAATTGATCGGCTCAAAATCGGCGAGAAAGATAAATGAAACGAGCAACCTTTCAATAATTGTTAATGCGTGTTGGATCACAATTTTTTTTTTTTTTATTTTTTTTATTTTAATTTACGAACTTATATCGCTAGATTTACATAAAATATACTTAATCGATACAACTGCGCATAATGTACTCGTGATACCGAGAAAAATATATTGCACGGGCGCTACGTGCACGTATACATAAATCCTCTGACGTTTTATATATATATATCTTTTACTGGTGCACGAGACAATCTTTGTGACTGCAGCGGGGGAAGGATCGCATCCTTTCGAAACAAAGCCAAGGCATACGTTTGCACGCGAAACATCTTCCACCTCTTCTCAACAAGCCAATAGATACTCGATGAAAAAAGATAATCCTCGAGAATTGGAAAAAGAATTATATTTCCTCAACGTTCCCTCCCAATGTATTTACAGTCTCTTTCTCAGAAACGAACGCTTCGTCGTCGCACCACTTCTCACATCGAATTCAAAATAATCATTTCCGGGTGGCGAATACAACGATGCACACGGACACACTCACACCCTCGTTTTAAATATGCCTCTCATACAAGTTACACCATTCGTTTTGTAACAAACATATCTGTATACGTATGTATGTGTGTATATATATATATCGTCTCTATACATATAATAAAACTTCTGCAAATAGCTGCAAAATATTTCATTTTCAAAGGGGTAAGGTTCAAAGGTCAAAGACAATTTTTTTTTTTTTTTTGCTCGTTCATAGAAAACTATAATCTTTTTTTTTTTTGCTCTCTCGAATAATTTTTTTTTTCTTGTTTCGTTGCTCTCGTTCAAGCAACCAATCGACAATTCTTCCTTCTTTCAAAACTTCTTCCAATAAAAAAAAAAAAAAAAACACGTCGATCGAAAAAAACGAAGGTTCGTTGGAGATCCCTGATACAATAGTCCCAGACACGACTACTTTAATATCAAAATGATCAGATCCTTCTATTTCCACGATATATATATATAGAGAGAGAGAGTTCCTCGTGGAAATCGAGGAAAATATGTACAGTTAAGCCATCGAGTTATTTATAGGAGCGCGAAACAACTTGAACTTATATACTCTGCGTTATGATCACTTATTATTTCTCAAGCTCGATTCCTTCTTCGTGTTTCTAATTAATAGAAATCTTCCAATACCCTTGTCAAATGTCCCCTTTTCAATTTTGTTTAACGTACGGGATCATTCGATATTAATGTTCAATGATATTATTGTTATTTTGAAAGCACAAAATTGATTGATCGAGTATTTTAAAAGGTACAAAGCAATGATCTTGAGTAACCAATTGATCTCAAACAGATTATAGCTGTATTTCTGCAAAAAAAAAAAAAAAAAAAAGAATACACAGGATGTTTCATACGATTACAATCCTTCATTTGTCTCAAAAAGTTTTAAAAATTATAATTTATTTATATGAAACAGCCTGTATAATTCTAAGAGAGGTATCTTCACATCTTTTTCATGAAAATCGACAATTTAACAAGCGTTGCTCTTGAAACACATGTCTTAGATTAATTACACGTGACAAGGTACAATTTACAATTCTGATTTAAGGTACAATTTACAATTATACCTTATACGTGTTTCTTTTTCTATTTTTCTTTTTTTTTTTTTTTGTCTAGACACAATTTCAATGGAACAGGACAGAATCGAGGAATCTTGTAGGATTATAAAAGAGGGGGGGAAAGGGTGGGTAAATACCTGGATATTCCTGGAGAAAAAGCGGGATACCGTGAGATTCTACCATCTTCGTTTCAATTCCAGCACGTAAAACCAGTCCTCATCGTCTTCTCGTGTTAATATTTGCGACGCTCGACATCCTCAAAGGAACATCCCTTGCTGTTTCCGCGTCTCGCAGGGACGTTCCCTTCAAACAAACTTTGTTTACTCCCTTAGGAAATTCTTGGATGCTTTTCGTGAAACGGGCAATACGATTTTTAATCAAGAAATCTTACCAGAGGTTACACAGTGGTTACATACAAGGTGGTGTAGACACTGACTTCTAAACGACATTGTTTTTTTTTCTTTTTTTTTTTTTATTATTAAATTTCTGTCCTTTGTTAAAAGAAAAATCTTCTTAAGAAAGATGATTAATAACTTTAATTAACCAGATAAGTTTTAATTTCTTGTGATTCCAGATTAAATTAATCTTGAATTAGAGAAAAACTAAATTTGAAGCTATTGGTTATTCCCATTGATTGTTTGAATTATCTGCGTTGAATATATTTATTAACAGTTCAAATTAAATTTTAATTTTCTTGTTGTATGATTAGCCAAGCTTAAGTTATTTCTACTGAATCAAACTAATAAATAAGTATTCTGATATATTTATATTTGTATTAAGTTAGATTCAAGTTTGTTAAAATTAATTGATGATCTTTTAGTCTGATTAAGCCTGAGTTTGATCCGAGTTAATGGTTTAATTAAGTGCATTATAGATTAAGTACTATTTCTACCTTTTAAGTAGAAAGACAACTTGTCTTTTTCTCGTCTATTTTTAATATGCAGCAAAATTTAGCAATAATTTTATATCATTCTATATAAAACTTTCACTGTTCACCTATATACGTTTGTTTCAAAATTGTTTAAAATCATTCAAGAAGAGAAGTTTCTTTCGGAAATTGTAATTCAAATATTCAAATATTTGTGTTTGTAAACAAAAATTATTTTACAATTTAATATTAAAATTATCAACGCATATATTTTTATATTCGAAAAAGTTAAAAGTTAGAAATATATTCATTGTGTGAATGAATAATAAGAAACATATAATCAATTTCGATACAGCATATCGAATATAACATAAATTAATATTATTCTTTTACTTTTACTACTTAAAAGCCCGAATAAACTTCTAATTACAAACAAATTCGTGTCTCGTTAATTTAAAAATCTTCAACAGTATCATTCTACTAATATCTTTAGGAACTTTCATTTTCAATTCTTCTTTTTTCCATTCTTTTCAAAATATCATTCAGACGAACAACAACAATACAATGAAAGAAAACCATCGGTTCTCACGCTCGAAATATCTCTTAAAAAAACGATCCATTCCAACTTTCTTTCAAAACTTCTTTCGGGTTAATTTTATGGCATCGTGGGGAACCGAGTTGTATCCCTAGAGATACACTACAAAAATAATCGAGCCTGGACGAAAGGTCACAAAGGTTAGAATCGACGATTATCGATTCGATTCTTATGCCAGTTAAAACCACGTGGTGTCACGATTCAAAAACGAGTGATATATTTACAAAAACGCGTTAGACCGAACTCGTTTTCGGTAAAGGTTTCAACTTCAATTCTCGCCGCTCGTGATACTCTTGGAAACAGGGTACGATGCACAGGTTGTCCTGACACTGGGGGCAATGATACTTTGTTTTCCTACGAAGCGTCCTCCCTTGGGCGTCTATCGTGTTCCAACAATGATTACAGCGCAGTGCCGGCCCTGGACGCAATACTGGACAATGGCCGACACGTAGATCCCCCGTGTTATCGCGCGTCTCCCTGCTCGTTGTCTGTGAACAAGGCAGAAATTTCAATTTAAACAAAGTTAATCTTATTTTCTCTATTCTATCGGAATTCAAATTCCTTGGAATCCCTTACTTGCGGTGACGATGAACTCCGTCTAAGCTCCGTAGTTTTCACCCTCAGCCCCGACGTGGAGCCAGCTGTGGTGGTGCTATCGGTGGTCGAGGTAGTAGTGGTGGTAGTGGCAATTGGATCCTCCAGAATGTCCTCCTCCGTTTTGATGACAGGCGCCGGTTCCACCACGATCGAGGGGCTGGTCGTTCTTCTGGGGAACTCCGGATTCGAGTGTTGCCTGTGTATCCAATAATTTCCACTGCCTGATTGCTGCTGGGTGGGCAAGAGCGGGTGGGAATGTTGCTTCATCAGGTAGGACGGCTGAGGTACGGTCAACAGGTTCGTCGTGGTGGTCACTGTCAACAGGCTGGGCTGGTTCACCAGAATCGATTGCGGCGGCAACGGGGAAATTCTCGTTTCGTCCAAGCTTTTCGACGTTTGGGGCAAGCTGAGCGTTGGGGTCGTCACGTAAATGGGGGAGGAAACGATGTGCGGGGAGGACGCCTCGCTGTCAGGCGACAAGTGATTCGACTCCTTCTTGACGCGTGGCTGGCGCAGCAGACGATACCTCTTCGGACCTACCTGCTTCGCGTAAATAACTGAAACGGAAGAGGAGATCTTGTTAATTGTTAAAAATTGAAAATGGATTTATATATTTGAAATACTGTTTCTGTCAAACATTGTGCGCTTTATTTATTTGTATAAGGGTATATATGTTATAATTAAGTTAATTTTAATATAATTTGATTTTAACGATATGTGTGTATTATTTTTTTTTTTTTTTTTTAATATTTATTTACGCTATTTGGTATTTAAGTCATGACAATTTATCGATTGGGAAACGAATATTTTAATTTTATTTCTAAAAGAAAACTATATATTTAAAATATACGGGAGTAATTTATTTATAATTTAAAAGTAACTTGAAAAATGGATTTAAAAAATTTCAATATTCAAATGTATTTCCATTACAAATAGTCCGATGTAAAATGCGCGAAAGAAATTATAATTGGAAATATGATAAAAAGAAATTTGAAGATTGATTTAAACAATTTCGAGCTATGTACGTGAAATTATTAATATTATCTTGGTAAAAAATATAAAAATTTTACC